AAAGCACAGAGATGTAGGTAAAAGTCAGATCATATAAATCAGGGATAAGCACATGGAAGCATTAGAGCTGTATAATTTTTACTACCATAACAGATACACTCTACCTACCATTTGGAGAAGAGAGTTGAAATTCCCATGCCTGCTTTCCATATTTTTTTAAAATACCTGTTGTGTTTGATGGGTAACCAAGAAAACAGGAAAAAACAAATACAAGGTCTCATGCAGCAACATTTCATGTGAGTTTTTGCAGCCTGTGCTATCAGCTTGTCTGAAGTGGTAACCACTAAGAGTGCATGGAGCACTTAACACCTCTCATTGCCAGACCGTGCTGACTCACAAAATCACCTCTTATTTAAAAGCATGTTTTTCTAGGTATTGTGTTTACTCTGAGCTTTTGAAACCTGGAAATTCAGCTCTAGAAGAAAAATTATGATCTTAGTGTTTTGTTGTTTATCTTGTTTAACACTGTTCACAGATTAGAGTTCCCTTTCAGCATCTACAAAGAAACAGCTTTCTGATCTAGATTTACATTTATCTCTGGATTCTTAAAGTAGAAATTAAAATTATGCAGCAACCAAGGTATGCACATGATACTCTCCCTTTCCCACTTGCCATTGATTTCTCTGTCATGGCCCTACACTGCCAGACCTTGACACCGGGGCCATCTATTCCCACCCCTGACTCATACAGCAATACATAATGGAAAAGTGCTTCATATTAAGTATGTTTCAAAAAACCAACATGCTCCAGTGAAGTACTGAGCACATTTTTCCTGCACACTGAGTTAGCCTGAAAGCTATCTTCCATGCTACTGTTTGCACAGAACCATTCCCAAAGGTCTTGAACTCCTACCTGATAGTTCTGATACCACCTTTGATCTTGCTGTGTTTCTACTTCTCCGAGCATGACATGAAAGTAACATTCCTATATTCTTTTACATTTGAAATCAGCTATATTTCAAAGCTCTGATGTCAACAGGACAACTTTATATCATCTCCAGTTAAATAGATCTGCTCAACAGATGTGAAACAGATCTTTTGTTTCACTACTCAGTTTGAAGCCAGCTACATGAGTAATTGAACAAAATGGTATTTTGTGAGTACGTCCATTTGACTTGTCTGTCAAATGTTTAAAAGCCAAAACCCTGTCACTGGTCTTCTGCCTCAGGATGATGCAAAATGTTTGGCTTTCCTTAGAAACTGATTTAGTGCACACTGCTTGTGCATGCAGACAAGGGAAATATAGGGATGGACACCAAAGAGAGGGCTTTGTATTTGCATTTCATCCCTGCAGCCATTTTGGTAGCTTTCCATGTAGATTCCCCTGCCACCCTTAGGATAGACCCAGCATGGATAGTCAAGAGTGGGGAAGAAGCAGCAATGAATCTATCAACCAGCTCTGTGGATGGAAAGGCCAGATTCTGCACCCCTTTTGATAGGTGAGTTCATAAGTAAGGGAACCTCAACTTTATACCCTGAAGCACCTTGGTAACAGTGATATAAAAGGGTGCAGGAATTGGGCTAAGAATCACACCAAAAGGACTTGAATTTCCAGGATCTGCTTCTCTGTGCTTTGTAGTTATACTTCATTTAGCTTTGTATTTTCAAAAATCAAGGGGAGAAATTAAGAAAGTGGCAGGAGGACTGATGAAAAAATGGTAAAGGAGAGACCAGGCAAGAGAAAGCAGAAGAACACAGACTTTCTGGCTGTTAAGTCAAGACAAAACCTTTTCAGATTTCTCTAAACATAATTACTTCGATGACTTAAAAATTCACCTCTTGAAAAATACTAGGAGGGCCTTTTCAAGAGAGAGGAGAATACATTCTCATCTCCATTACCCTTGCAATCACTAACCCACAAGGCATGCTGTAAGCTATACTACCTCTCTAGTTGCATGGAACTATCTCAATATGGGCACACATTTTAGTCATCAAAGCAGCTGAAAATAGTTCCTGGGTCCCCATCTCTCCACACAGAGTCAACCATTGCAGAACGGTAAGCACCAGCCTTAACCCCACAGCACCTCCTAGGAGTAAAGCCCATGACAACAATTACCTGAGCATACTTTTCACAAAACACCAAATTCTATATTTTAACCCAGAAACCCCCCAAAAAGCTGGTAAATTTAATGTTTCAGAGATGCAACACTTCGGCTCCTCCAGGTTTAAGTGTACATAACTGGTATCAAGATGAACTACTTGTATGAGGGGTTTTAGTATACCAACATTGGGATGCTAGAAAAAGAAATGGCAATATGCTCTTCTGAAGCATTTACCATGGTTTAATTAAGTTAAATCTTAATGCCTTAACTCTGCAAGTTCTGCCCAGACGTTCTGCATGCCAAGCTGGACCACCACCTCTTTCCTCTCTCTGGTATTTGCAAAGTATCAGGGGACAAAAGTTATGATGAACTTTTAACAGCCCCAGTTGCTCTCTGCTGCAAAAGCCATTTATATAAGGCTTACTATATAAATAATATAGTAATTCCTCAGGTGTTAAGACTCCACTGAAATAAAAGAGATACAAGTAACAAAGGTACAACTGGCAGTCATATTCATGATGTGCTTTTTCATTCAACCGTATAAATATTTACTTAGTACAATTCTTCTGAAGATACTTAGAAAGTAGCTCAAGTTGATATCTATTTCATTACAATGCTAAAAGAATATTCCCCATACACCACATATCCAAGCAGAAAGTATGGGTAAATATTAAACTCATCCAGAGCACTGGGAAACAATCAGGAACACACCATATACACAAGCAACAGTGCAGAAGTGCCAGGCATTTAACTACCATTCTCTCAAGCTGAAGGATTTATTCCCTTGTGGAGCATCTCTTTCATGAGCATCATTCCATACCACAAACTGATCAGCACTGCCAAGCCTCACAGCACATACACAAAACAACCTCTCTTTCTTTGTGCAAGGTTAAGAAGAGAATTAAAGATCTCTTCTTTCTACCCTGTATCCCTAGGATACCAAAACTGGTGTCTCTTGGGTTTCAAGGCAATTTGGCTAGTTTTACACAGTTTTGGAGGGGAAATTCCTTAAGACTGCTAGTAAAGGAAACTCAGAGAAAACCAAATTGAGCTCTTCCCATTGCTGCAGGACGAGAAGATTATTTCTGTCACTTCATCTCCCTTAAAGCCTTAAACCTGCTCCCAACTTCTATGCAGCACAAGCACAGAGAGGTGACTGAGGTGCAGGGCTGCATCTTGTAAGACATTTTTCAGTGCTCAGGTGTTGGATGCAACTGACTCACCCTCAGTCATGGACATGAGACACAAAAGTTCATTTGGTGCAGGACAGTATACAGAAAGAACTGAACACAGTCTAAAAGTGAAGAGAACCTCTGACCTCATATTCTCAAAGCAGACTTGGACTTTATGTATCATAGAGATATCTGGCTAATGAAATTCCTCCCTAGGGTAAAATAATTGAACTACCTCAGGATGGAGGTCCCAGAGAACTTCACTTGTATTCAACCCCTTGCACAGCTGCTTATATTGGAAGGCATAGTTTTGCCATACAACATTTGATGCAGAACTTAATTTACTTGTCAGACTATAGCAAAAGAAACGAAGACACATAGTGCTAAAATAAGCTAGAAGCAAGACTTCCAAAACTAATTTTCAAATAGAGAAAAGAATCCTAGCAGGAAATCATGAAGCTATTAAGCATATTCTGAAAAGTGCAGGCAAAACCCCAGCAACAGCCAGCCACGCTCAGTAAAAATACACTAGAAGAGCTCTTTTTAAAGCTATTTGTATTTTCTTTGCACAGTAACAAATATTGTTATCACCTCCAGCAGCATGCAAAAACCTTTACTAAAACCATGATGTACAGGATAACTCTCTTGCAGTAGACTAATGAGTGTTGAAATTTTAACAGATAACAGCTAACTCAGAAATAGCACAGGAAAAGTGGAACAAGGTAGCAGACAATATTTTTTTCTCTAACATCACACACAGAAGATGATGAAACCCTGATGGAATACTGACCACTCTGATCATTATATGACTTATTGAACAGCAAAATATTACTCGTCCACTATCGCCTCTAATTGATATAACTACCTGCCTAATTATAAACGTTGCAATTTTCTCTTAACCTCATTCACGGCTGCTCAACTGTACAAACAAACAAAATCTAATATATATGCACATATATTAATAAACTGATGAACATTGTGGTAATTGCTGAACCAAGTGATCACTTGATATTCAACTGATCAAACCACTGACTTGAAGTTCCTTGAGTATTTCTAACTAGGCAAAAGCACATTATAAAATCCTTCCTGATAGAACCTAAATTCAAGACTATATTCTGCAGCATGAGAACTACACTGCTCTCTTAAGCATGCTGAAATGGAATGGTAATAACAGTATTCAGCCCTCTTTTAAAACCAGTTTTAGTACTTGACATCTTCCAGCAAATTATTTTCAAAATACAGTTACGTTTTAATTATTAAATCAAAAAACCTGATTCATTTTGCAAATGAATGTCATTTACAAAATTATGTCATCTTTTTCTAAAAAACAAAGCAAACTCATTTCAGTTCCAGCTAATATATGGTCTTTGTAACTTGTGAGCAACAGCTATAGTTTTGCATAGTTTATTATTTGCCTATTAAATTCTATTAAATGAACTTTTGCTTTAAATTTAGCCTCCAAATTCAAGTTTTTATAAATATAATCACTAATTGAAATGTTTCCATGAATACAAAGATGCTTTCAATAAGAGTGTTTGCACAGAAGGAATGACCTTTGACATCTCATATCCAAAGATTCACAGTACTGAAAACCTTTGGTCTTCCTTTACAAATATTAAAAGATTCAAGTGAACTGATTTGAAGAAGGAAACTAAATTTTAAATTGTTAAACATGGGGAAAAAAAGGCAGTCCTTCTTCCTTAATCCATTTGGGTGAGCTTTTCCAGATACAAAAGATGATTTAAGGAATAAGCACCAGTAAGACCCATCTATTTAGTTACTCTTACCTCAATAATATACAAAACCACATTTTTGTAGAAGCAGTACAGTATGCATTTGGTAACTCGATTGTAACTCCAAGCACCATGGACCAACAATAGCTTCTCCAAATAGGAAAACTGAAAGACAGAAAAGAAGTATTTACATATACGAAGAATTGCTAAAAAAATTGGTTGAAAGTAAACACCTGTCCTCAAGGAAAAAAACATAAAATCCTCCAATTAGCTCTGAAAGTTATTCAAGTGCAATTTTTAAATACCTTAAGATATATGCAAGAAATAGCTCTTAAAATACTTAAAGCTAAAATTTTTTTGGTAGCAAAACTTCTGAAGGTTCTAAAGCATGATTTTAAATGGCAAAGTGCCTTCAATTTTTATCACCCTCCTGATGGCAAAAATTAATGTTTGAGGGCTTACAAGGTTCAGAATCTCCTTTCCCTGTGTAAAATGAGCAACCTAATAATCAAAACTGTCTTGAGCTGAAATAAAATACACAAGAGAGGAACAAAAGTGGGAAAATGATGCATTTATAGAGAATAGATACTTACATTAACATTTTCCACCCACAAAATGTATGTGATTGTGTGTTATATAAAATATCGTATAAAGCAAAATGCATTTTGCAAAAAGAGCAAGTAAATGAATCTTGTATAATTGTGTACCTTTTAATGCTAGTTTGAACCCCACATGGAGCTGAAATTCAGAACTTTTGAAAAAGGACTTTTATGGAGCCAGTGGTGTAATCCAGACTGGGAAATATATAATTTTCTAGTCTTGGCTTTGTTAGTGAACCTTTTATGAGCTGAAGCATTTCTCTTTTGCCCAGTTACCCACAGCTCAAAGTGATGGCAATGTTTATTGTTTAGCATGTGTGTACCTGAAGGGATCTTGAACACTAAGGTAATTATTTGCTTTGCTTCCTTTTCCACAAAGTGACTTGACAGGAAAATCCTGACTTGCTAAATTTAAATTTTAGATAATTTGTTTTAACCAAAACTTATTTGAAGTTGAAAGCTACAGTAATGAGTTAACACTGCTGTGAGGCAGCTCTGCTCCCATGCTTTCCAGCAATGAAATCACTGAACCACAAATCCTGTAAGGACAGCCTCTCTCCCATGCATCACCAACTCAGATTTGTTGGGATGTGCCAGCAGACAAGTAGAAAAAACAAAAGTGAACCAGGCTTCACTGTCCTCTGCTTAACTTGAGCTAGAGCTATAACTGGGACACTCCCAAGGGAGCAGCTGCCCTGTTAGATCCCTAATGCCTCAAGTTAAAGTGCAGGAGAGCTACAACTTATCTCATCAAAATCCCAAACAAAACACCACCAAGGTGATGGGAAACTTGCCACAATGTCGTTCCAAGTCATCCCAAAGCTCCTGTGGAGAAAAGTCAGACATAACCTGAGAACCTCTCTGCTGAATCTAACAAGGGACCATCTTGGATGTCATCTTCTTGAAAGCTCAAGGCAACAAAAAATCCTACCATTAACTGCTCTTGTCTGTGCTCTCATTAAAATGAGTGCACTACAGAACACAGCAAGAGCCTAAAGAACACACTGAGCCTGCTCACACCAGTGAAGAGTCCCATTAAGACACGGCAAAGAATTAAATTTGCTTTGATGCTGATATTATGCAAATGCACAGCTGCTGGCACAGAGCAGTACAGACAGGAGCTCTACCAACCAAGACACTGTCCTTTTTTGGATGCTGCTGTATTAACAGCATTTTGAATCAGCAGGGAACATTATGACCATCTGGCCAGCCTACCTGTGAAACAGTTCATGTAAGTTTTTACAATCATCTCTGCATCAACCCTAGCCTAACCTCTTTCATACAGATATTATCTTCTAGAATCTATCTTGACTACAGGATGAGGTGATGTTGGGGCGGAAGAGTTTAAGTGAAAAGGCATCCACAAAACAAGCCAATTTTTCCAAAGAAGAAAACTGAAACAATTCCATTTGTTGAAGGAAGAAACTCTCTTAATTAAGAAAAGGAAACAGTCCCTAGACACCAGATGTTCTCTGGATTAAGACGATAAAGCTATTTACTGAGAAAAAAAAAGTTATTAAAATCTACTACTGTCTCTAACTAGTTAGGTCATTTGATTTGGGAATTCTTTAAATAGAGGTCACTGGTGCAATATCATTTCAAGGGAAAAGGATGATTCAAACAGATGCTCCTTGCACCTGTGGAAGCTATTTCAAGTGGAGTCAGACACAAGCTGGCTTTTTATTTTTGTTTGGTTTATGCTTTGATTCTCCCTGGAATCCCAAATGAGCCTAAATGGAGACTCTCTCTTCTCTAAGTGCCTACTTCTGGCAGCACTGCATTTGAAATAGCATTTGAACATGAGATGCTGCATTACAGTGGTCGTCTTAAATTACTCAATAAGAACATACTCTGCCTTCAAAGCATGCACATACAGTAATGTTTTAGTGGGAGTTATATGTCTTCATTGAAAGAAATACACTCCACAAAGATCAAGTTTTTCTTTTGAACACTAATTTACTTTTTTTTTAAGCACATACTACCACACAGTATTAGTCTCCTCAACTAGAGGAATTTTTTGGCTATGTTTTTTAATTCAATCAGTACAAAGTACTTCTACACAACCACAAAAAATACAGTTCCATGGTGTTTCACTAATTTCTGAACAATTCTGCAATTCTGTGCCGGTGGCACCAGCTTTTATTTTATATTGAACTAAAAAGATTCATTGTTATTGTCAGTAACTTGCTGAATGGAATTTAAACCAAGAGCAACTCCCATGTTCTAACACTCAAGTGAAATACAGGGGTTTTGTTAATGCAAAAGCAACACGTCAACATGGAATTACTTCTCCAGAGTTAATGCTACTGTGACACAAAAGAAATTACATATGTAGGGCCTTCTATGGACAAAACTCTTGCTGGTTATGCTTAGTTACTAAAGCAGATGTAATAAATGATCTGAGGAAGTCCAAGTAAAGAGCATTCCATTAACTTATACAGCAGAAGCTATATATAATCCACTGAAATTAAAAATGTAAAACTCATTACAAGAAACCAGAGACAATGACTATGGCAGCTCTTATACTGGTATATATTTAGGATATGCTACTGTTTATGACAGAAAAACTTGGTAAAACTGCTTAAAATTCTCAAGATGGATTTTGTCAAAGGTCTCAGTTATTCAAATCTGAAACCGAGTGTTCTTCATCAGAGGTCAGAACAGCACACCAATACAAGACTGCCACTTGGCTTCTCAGCAAGGTTAACACAATAAACACTTATCTGTGCATACAGCAGCATTATCCCTGCCTTTTCAAAACCTCACCTGCTTCTGGAAGCTACCAAAAGACGATAATACTTCATGTCACTTCATAGAACAAATGTGACTACATCCTGCCAGAAGGGAACATCAGCTGATGCTCTGGTCACTGAGGAGACAAGGGATTGTCTCTGCTTCCTGCCAGCTCCATCTAGTTTTGCCCCGTATCAGTCTCAAACACATGGAGCATCTCAGGTGTAAATAGTATTCAGAGAATATTCAGCAACTGAAGCATCTTTTTCCTTTCTGATTTTTCTTTCAAGTCTTGATTCTAAATTGTGGTTTCTTCAGCAAAACAAACAAACTAAAAAAGCTTTTAATTCCTCTTTTTAGCTCAAGTAATCAGTTTGGAATTTGATGAACTAGCTTAGGAGCACACTCACCCAAATAATGTTCAAAATAACATGTCAAATGAAAATTCTAGCCAGCTCTCTAGAACTGTGAGCAATTCTTGGATGAAACAAAAGGGGTAGGGGGAAATAAAAATAGAGGAGATACCTCAAATTAAGAACTGCCAAACAGCCAAATTCTCACACACCTGGTTATAGTACCTACTCATAGTAAGAGAAGAGTTTGCAGCAAGACAGATCAGTTACTTAAAAGCACATTAACACAAGCATTACAGAAACTGCCTCTGATAACTGAAGAACCAAGATATTGTACACCTGTCAGGAGGAAACTAAAACTTTGAAGAGAGGTGGAGCTTTCCCCTGAAGAATACAAAATCATAACAAATCCCCAAAATATACTCTAGACAGCTGACTGGAAAGGAAACAATCAGAGATGCTTCTAGCTTGAAGGCTAGGAGAAGCCAGTCGAGCACTACAAGGCTGCACAGTGCATTTCTCACAAGATGATATGGCAGTTGTTCATTCTTGCATCTGACCTGTGCAATGGCATAGTCCGAGCAATTGGTTGCCTGCATGCCCTCATTGCCACTGATCCCCACTCCAACGTGAGCTGTCTGGATCATTCCTACGTCATTGGCACCATCCCCAATGGCAAGTGTTATGGCATTGACGTGTTTCTTGACCATGTCTACTATTTCAGACTTCTGTAGAGGAGATACTCTGAAAAGGAGAGAAAAAGGTGTCAGTTTCTCACATGCTGAGCTATGTGCCTTTCCCAAAAGAACAGCTGTAGCCTACATTTAGATGTAATCAAAGGCAGTTGCTGGGAAGTTCCTTTATTCAACAACTAAGCTTCAGAACCTGTGCCAAATTATTTCAGAAGAAAAAAGTGGCTTTAAAAATAGTTTCACATTTACCTACTTGCCGATAGTTGATGCAAAAGAGACCAAATCTATATGAAAAGTTTCAAAGTTTTGTTTTCCTTACCAGTCCCTCCTAACTGGCATAACACTGGTGATGTTATATTGGGAGCATTGAAGTGAGTTTCTTCTTCAACTATGACAGCTTACAGATTAATGGTGTAGGCTTCCCTGCCTCCTGTCATCACCATCCAGAAGGAGAAAGACCACAAATGCATTCAGAGACATTTTCAATGGTTTGCAAAAGATACTGCAGGCTTACTTTATTATTAAACCAGTTCTGTTTAACATCCTTATTAATGATATCAATGAGGAGATTGAGTACACCCTAAGTTTGCAGATGACACCAAGTTGGGTGAGCATATTGATCAGCTGGGGGGCAGGAAGGCCCTGCAGAGGGATCTGGACAGGCTGGATTGATGGACCAAGGGCAGCTGTATGAGGTTCAACAAGGTCAAGTGCTGGATCCTGTATACTGGGGTCACATCAAACCCAGGCAGCACTACTGGCAGAGAAGCTGCCTGGTAAAAAAGGACCTGGGGGTGCTGGCAAACAGCACCTGGACATGAGCCAGTGTGTGCCCAGGTGGCCAAGAAGGCCAATGGCATCCTGGCCTGGATCAGCAATGGTGTGGCCAGCAGGAGCAGGGCAGTGACTGTGCCCCTGTACTCAGTACTGGTGAGGCCACACCTTGAGTTCAGTTTTGGGTCCTCAATTCAGGAAGAACAATTGAGGGGTTGGCCCATGGCCAGAAAAGGGCACTGGAACTGGGAAAGGGTCTGGAGCATGAGCTTTATAATAAGGACCATCTGGGGGAACTCTGATTGTTCAGCCTGCAGAAAAAGAGGCAGGGGTACATACCTAATCACCCTCTACAACCACCACAAAGGAGACGGTACTGAAGGGGGGTGTCTTGCCCCAGGTAAACAATAAGAACAAGAGGAAATGGCTTCAAGTTGTGCCATGGGAGGCTTAGACTGGATATGAGGGAAAAATTAAGGTAAAGGGTTGACCAATATTGAAACAGGTTGCCCAGGGAAGTGGTGGAGTCACAATCCCCAGAGGTATTTAAAAGTCATGTAGATGCAGCACTGAAGGACATTGTCAGTTAGAATTATCTTGAAGGACTCTTCCAACCTTAATGATTCTATTCTCTCCTCCAGCTGGCCTGCCCATTTCCCAGGACATCTTTCCCATCTCAAACTATGCAGGTCAGATCAGAAAGCACAAGGCTGCTTCCTGATTTCACACACTTTCTGTGTGCTGGTGCAACTCTGACCTCAGCGATGATGTTACTCAATTCCAGTTCAAAAGACTGACTCCATGGTATCGGAATATCCTTATCAGATTTATTGGCAATTACTTGAACCTGATTCTTCTCTCATATCAGTTTCAAGTCAACAAAAATTCATGGAATTCAGAGTTGAACTAGTCTAAACCTAAAAGTGGAAAAATACTCAGGACTAGTTTCCTAAATTGGATAAGACACCCAAAATGCCCTTTTGTCATGGAAAAGGCAGATCAGGTTACCAAATCATATGAGGTATTTTGGAAATATCTACATGTAGATTAAATATTTCCATTCTAACCCCATCTGTACAAACAACCCTAATTCCTTTCACCATTAGTTTTAAAGTTCCAAATTATTTTGTATTTCCTTAAAAAAAACCTTAGACAAAACTTTTCTACATCTCAAGTCAGCCACATACCACTAAAAAAAAATGTAACTGATATCTAAAAGCTTTACTATTAAAACAGGGGGAGAACAGGCACCTTGGGGAATAGGGGAGACAAAGGTTTTTTACATGGCCTTTTTTTTGCCAGAGTTCACATCCTGTGAGAGCAACTAAAATAGCCATTCAATACACCCGTCTGGATCACTGCTGATCAAAAAGCAGAGTTACCTTTTTCAGCATTAAGCTTTATGGCCTTGGTTTTGTTTAGTAAACACCTAAATAGGTGTTTTATTAGTAAATCACTCTTAAAATAACTTGATGGGTAATTTGGGGTAAAGAGACTTGCTAAGCTCAAACTACACATGTGAACTAAACCACCTGAGAAGTCTTGCAGCTGTCCTGTTCCTAAAAGTCAAATACAGGAAAAAGTTGACTAAACCATAAAATTTACTTAATACCATTGGATAGATCTATTAAGCACTCCACTACCTGGCAGTGAAAACACCACTTGGCACGGTCGAAGCCCAGTTAAATTACCAGCACAAAACCCCAACACATCAACCTATGGAGCACAAAAGGTGTTGGTTTTTTATTATGAATCAGCTCTGGGTATCATCTACACCAAATTTTAACTTTTCTCTTATACATGCACATACACGCTCCTCCCTCTCTCCCAGTACTCACATAATAAAATACTAAAGCATGGAGCAAAGAGTCAAAGGGACTTTAAGCCATAAAACTGAAACTCCAGAGGAACTTGGGGCCAGCTGTGGAGAGTTTGGATTGACAAGTGCACGGACCCCCATTACCAGCCCCAGGCACACCTCCAGTACACAGGACCATATACTTTTGGCAGTCCCCTCATGCAATTATTTCTTCACAGCAAAATACTGCACATATCTGCTCACAGCCTTCTCAGACATACACTTCTCTTGCAATTTCAACTTATGTTCAATTACTTTTCAGTTACATAGTAGAAATATCTAAGAAGTGCCCTGTTTTCAAATATGCTTAAAAGAGCAGAGGAAGGAAGAAAGACAAAAGGTGAACAGCATCTCTGACTCTGTAGTTTAAACTAGCAACTTGTCTACAGACACTTCAGACATGACCAGAATGTGGCAGAGATGCTCAAGCTTGTTCTAGTGCAGTTTACCTGGGACATGTCAAGCAAGCTAATGCAGCCTGTGCTCACTTCTGTGCCTACAGTGTAGGTGTAGTTTCAGACTTTAAGTCCACTTTGCCATTAGTAACCTATTATTTGGCAAGTCAAGGGAATATCGCTATAAAAATGCATTTATCAGCTACACAGTGTACACAGAGGATGCTTTTACTGTCTTGACCAAATGAAGTTAATTATATCTACAGTAATGTAGCACCCAGTTAATGTTTAACATCCCTACATGCTTATTAAGGCTAAACAAACTACTGGAAACGCTACATATGCATTTCAAATACCACAAATATGGATGGACTCAGTTTGAGAAGACGAAATCTAAGACAAGATTTCAGCACAAAGTGTTACTTGACTGTAGCTGTTTCTCCTAAACAACAGCTCTATAACAAGCATCCTCTTGGACACTTCAACAGCAAGTACAGACCACAGCTCCAGAAAACACATTTTGTTGCACACAGTACATTAGCTCTGAAAGCTGCAAATTGAGATGATTACTGATTTCCTGAGGGGTTTTACACCTCTCCTCCCGCAGCTCACTGACTCAGCCTCCAAACCTCTTGTCCTCCTTATAATCTGTTTGGCACCAACATACTGCATTAGGGGACATTAATCCTCTTAGCCAGATGATCAGAGCTGTGGTACAATTCTGCACATTTGATAAGCTGTCTACAGGAAGAACTGAAGATTATAGCACAGGATACTATTAAACTGCAGCTTCCCCAGGTATAGCCAATTCACAAAGATTATGGACAAATGCATGAGTTCAAAGTAAAAGGCACAAGGTAAGAACTAACTTCTTTGAAAAAATATTCTGCAGTGACAGAATTGGTATGTATCATTTGATGGAAGATCCCTAGCTTTCACTGCAGAGCTCACTGCAACAAAATCAGGATATAAGCCTTGCCTGGATATACACCCAAATAAGAATTAAGATATGAATAAAGCATCAGTTGCATCAAAATCTTCTGCTTACTCTTATATTCATTCCCTGGTCAGACAAGCAGTGCTTCTTATAAAGGTTCTTTGAGTGCCAGTCAGGAGTTCACTAAAACATTTTCATTTATACAGAAGTTATTTTTACTGTCTCTGCTCAAAAATGTCTTTGACAACAGATAGATTCTCTCCTTTACACATACTTGAGGAAAAGAAGTCACGTTTCAAGTACCACAACTGTAGCAATAGCTACAATCTGATAAAATCAAGTCTTCAGATTCTTGTTTAAACTCTTTCCCTGACAATCTGAATTTAGCCTACACAGGCTACAAGAGATCCTGAGGTCAAGACTTCACCTTCATAAAGTGCCTATCATTCAGCATCAGGCTGTGCAATATAAAGTGTCCATGGATGATGGCAGGCATACATGCAATTACGTGTCAGTCATGCAGCAGGAGCTGTTCCTTGCCCGCCTTTGGAACTTCCTTTTGGCAGCCTTGCCCTCAAGAAAGCAAAAGCTAACATGGAGAACAGAAGGTTCTTGTCAGTCTCAAACCTGCTTAGACTTTATCAGCACCTTTAACAGATTAATACAGAAAGGCCTTTTCCTCCTGAAGATGCCTCCATATCACATTGCTTCCTCTGTAGTAGGACGGGTAGCAGCAAGAGAGGGCACAAAGAAGCACACCTCGTGAAGAAGCTGGGAGAGAAATGCAGCCCAGAGCCAGGGATTCTCAGAAAGATACTGACCTAATTATCCTTAGGTTACTTAAATTCATAAGCTAACAGTGGAAGGAGGCAGGGGGCAAACAGTTTTCAGGTAACAACATACTGCATTATTATATCAGTAAATACTTTAAGGTCCTTCTTGAACTTTGAGGAGGCTCATGAAATATAGCACAGGGCACAGCACAGAGCTGTGGTTTTCAATGAGAATGTCAGTGGCTTCCCACTGACTTCTGCAGACCAGGTCCTAATGGCTTTAACATTTAGTTTGCATTTGCTTCTTCGGCCTGA